GAGACGGGGTTTCACCGTGTTGACCAGGATGGTCTCGATCTCTTGACCTCGTGATCCACCCGCCTCGGCCTCCCAAAGTGCTGGGATTACAGGCTTGAGCCACCGCGCCCGGCCTCTTTTTTTTTTTTCTAAACAACATTTTATTGAACAATTTAATACTACCTGTGTCAACATTGTAAAGTTATTGAGTAAATAAGCATTTATCCTAAATATTGAGAAATATTCTGCGTTCGTGCCAGGCTATGTGTCATGGCTTTGGTACTTTTAGACTATTAGAAATACCTTGTAGCATTAAAAATAGGACACTGAAGTCATTTTTTTTTTCAGCCCTCTCCCACACCACAATCCCCTGTATCACTTATCTTCCTGAAGTTGTTATTAATCATTAACACAACTAGCTGGGCACAGTGGTGTGTGATGGTAGGCTTAGCCCCTCAGAAGGCTGAGGTGGGAGGCTAGCTTAAGGCCACGAGTTCTAGGTTAGGAGAACTATGATTGCACTGTTGCAATTTAGCCTGGGTGACAGAGCAAACACCTGTTTCAAAAAAAAATTAATTGCCATCATGCCATCACTCGTTGAATGCTTAATATATGGCAAACACTTGCTAAACACTTCGCATGCTTGATTTAAGCATGAAGCCAGCTCTTTGGAGGGTACCAGCATGTTTCCCAGTTTTTAGATGAGCAGACTGAAGTTCTCGCTGCTTCATATTGGAAACTTGCACTTGATTCTAAGGCCCCTGCTTCTTCAAGAGCTCCGCTTTGGGTTTGCTTCTGCTGTCCCTGGGATCTCCTTCATGTTGGTGGTGAGCTGCTTCCTCTCTGAGCCCAGCTTCAACCCTACCGTTCTCCAGAAGCTGGACGATGGGGTGGAGTGAAGTCAGCTCCCCTCGCAGTGCGGGACACCAAAGCGCCATTCTCATCTGCAGATCACAGAGGGGAGGCCAGGAAGAGCCAGGGAGGGTGGTCTTGGGGCTGGGAGGTCATCTCAGAGGGAGAAGGGGTGAGGAGCTCTGAGTTCAAGTTCCGAAGCTCTAGGACCACCCTCTTCTCTGACTCCCTTCATTTCTAACAGCCTCAGCTGCTGCAGGCCCTTGGATGGGGCTGGGCGTAGGGAAGGTCATTGTACCCAGAAGATAGTTGCGTAAATGTTGTATCTTTGTTGTAGGATTCTTTTGGGAGATATCTGCATCAGTGGGGATGGCATAAAGTACCCAGAGTCAGGATGTGGGGTCTGATTCAAAGTGACAGAAAAAGTGGCAGTGTGTCTCTCATTAGCCAAAGGGGCCCTTGGACCGGGAGTCGGGAGTCTGGTGTTCTCTACTGGCTCTGCTTCCTGGCACACCGGGTTTCTGGACCTCAGTTTTCTTCTCTAGAAAACCAGGAGGTTGGCTGGACACAATGGCTCACACCTGTAATCCTAGCACTTTGGGAGGCTGAGGTGGGCAGATGTCTTGGGCCCAGGAGTTCAAGACCAGCCTGTAAAACAGGGTGAAACTCCGTCTCTACCAAAAATGCAAAAATTAGCCAGGCCTCGTAGTGGGCACTGTAGTCCCAGCTACTTGGGAGGCTGAGGTGGGAGGATTACTTGAGCCCAGGAGGTCGAGGCTGCAGGGAGCTGTGATGGTACCATTGCACTCCAGCCTGGGAAACAGGGTGGAGCCTCAAAACAAAAACAAAAATGAAAAACAGGCAAACGAAGAAATGAAAAAAACCTATGGGGTTGGAGTAGATGATCTCTAGGGTCCGTTATAATTGATGTATTAGAATATTTGGGAAAAGGGCCTTGGGAATACATGAGGACCACCTGATGGAAATACCTTTATTTCCACAGCAGCTTCGTGTGTCTCATTGATCCCCATGGCATCACTTTCCACATGTAGTGGGCAGGCATTGTTACCACTGTTTAATAAATGAGGAAGCAACAGAGGCTGAGGAGAGGAGTCGCCTGATGCCCCATGATTGGTGGCAGAGCCAGAATCAGCAGTGGGGCAGTGGGGCAGGGGGGACCTGGCCAGGCAGAGACGGGATAAGACCTGGGATAAGTAATGGCAGGGACCCAGTCAGGACAGAAAACGAGGGTTAAGACTTACTTTGAGGTTTGGATTGGACAAGTAAATTCCCAAGAAAGAGACGTGGAGGCTAGCGAGGAACTCTGGAGTAAAAAAGGGGAGTGCCGGTAAGGGACGCGGAGTACTTACGGTGTGTCAGACACTTATCTGCATCTCTCCTGTCTGAACAAATCCTTACAGGAACCCCAGGAGACAGGTTATCTCCACTCTGCAAACTGGAAAACAGACCCAGAGAGTTTCAGTTATGTGACCAAGACCACCCAGCTAAGAAGCTAAGCATTCTGAACTGGGACCCAGTGACTCTGACTCCCAAGCTCTGGGTCTCTTCATTGCTGTGTTCCATTTGGGAAAGGCTGGTGACGGGGGGAGGGGTTTATTGCCCGCTGGTGTTTGGTTGGGAGTGGTCGGATTGGTGGGTTTGGATTGGTGGGTTCGGGGTGCAAGGCAGCCGGATCTGGGACTCCCGTGCTTGTGACTGGGGCTTACAAAGAGTTAACCCGCCTCCC